TTCAAGATTCTCTGAAAGTTCGTGTGGTGGGTACATCCCTTCTGTTTCCCCTGCTTGCAAAGGAAAACCCTGGAGCTTTGTCGCAGGCGATGAAGTGTCATGCGAGGGTGTGTCCGGCCACATGCCATTGCATTGACTGGCCAGCAGCACGCTCCGCTGATCAGCACGTAGCTAATTGCAGTCACGAGCCAAAAGCTTCACGCAGTTTAAAAAAACAAATACTAGAAAGCAGCATTCTGCCAACCAAGTGTGAAATTTGCTGACTCTTCCACTCTTAAAAAAAACTCCCAGCAACCTTCCGCCGGCGGCGTGAAACACCGCCAAGCAGCCTGAGCACTGCTGTCGCCGACTGAGCGTGGGGAGGATGAGGGCTGCCCAAGGTGGCCGTCCCGAAGACGTCAGGTCGTTATGGACCAGCGCAACCCCGCTTCTGTGAGGAGTCACCATGGTTTTAGTGCTACTTCCATACAAGTTTAGCCTCATCTGTGAAGAAAAGCTACCCGAACTAAAGAATGACGTGAATTGGAGAGTAATTTTCCCCCATTAAACCTTTAATGCACATGTTGCTTTTCCCCAAAGAGCCTACCTAGGAGGGGAGTTATTTGGGAGCATCGTTGCAGAGTAAGCATCATCGTTCTGCTTGTCCGCACAGCAGCTGTATAATTCTGAAATGCGCTCGCTAGTCCAAATACAAACTCTACCATGGTAGCAGGGGGAAATTGTAACAGCAGATGAAAAGAAACCTGAAAGACAGACACCTTAAAGACAGACAACAACATCTCACGGTGCAGAGAGAGGGCTCCTGCCTGTGAGTCCTTGGGAAAGGCTCTGATGGGAAGTTAAGATGTAGGGATACACCAGAGAAACAGTAAGACTAGATGAGAGGTGAGATAAACAGGAGTGGCTTCTAGTAGGATATCATTTGTTAAATACATCTTGAGAATGAAGCCACTAGTTTCTTGTTATCAATAAGAAAATGTGAATCAATTTAACAAATAGCCCGATCCCATCAGTTCTGTGTAACAGTGCAAACCATTAGTAAATTTCCAAATAGGTTCTAATCTCAGAGCAACAACAGCTTTCCTTGGTTTTGCAAAAGTTGGCGAAGGTTTATGTGGGTAACAGCACCCACAAACTACACACACGCTCAGCTTTATCTAAATTCAGTTCTCCTAATGCTGAGATGTCGGGCTATGAGGGTCCCGCGTTTAAAACTTAACACCCTTAAAGAAAAACATTTCTCCTGCCAAGCAAGAGCCCTGGCAGCCACACACGGCCCTTGAGAAGAGTTGGGTGAGGCTAAGGAGCAGGGAGGAAAAAACCCAGGTACTTGCAAACAAACGTCACAGTCAGTAGGGCATACTGTAAGCCCTGGGTGCTTGGAAGCTCACGTCACACTTGGCTCCTGTTAAGTCCGTCAGACTTACCGAACCAGCGGTACTGTCGAAGAAGGAAGACAATCCACGGGGAAACTCAAGAAGGCACAAAAATGGTGTTTCAGTGTTTTCCTCCCCTACCTCATTCTATCAATGATGCTCATCAGCTAAGTACAGAAGGAGTCATCGTTCCATACCTGAGCGCTGAAACACTTCCTCATGCTTGGGATGCAAATGAATTCCCTCATACGCCCCTCGAAGAACATGATGTAAGTAGAGTTCAGCACAAAATGCCTGGAAGACCCATTAGCTCTGGAGTAACTTCACTTTCCCGAGGGAAGAGGCAGGAGCTGAGAGGGTGAAGCTGGAGGAAACCCAACTCATCTTACACCACACAGTTCTCCATGTCATAAGGTGTTTGTTGCAGGCTTTTCAGAGGAGGAAATGCCAATAGGAGTGCTAGAAGGAGGACTTGCTTACAGTACAGACCTGCTGTACAGAGCTGGGCCATCTGTATCATCCCGACGACGATATTCCCGAGAGAAAGGATGAATTGCCCCTTCCCCTCTCTCATTCACTGCTACACACCAGGTGCAGGCTGCAGATCAAAAACACCCTTCACAACTCAGTGATTGCTTATACCGAGGAGCAGCAGAAGTGATTATTTTACTTTATGTGTCTCAGTTATAGCTGACATGCAAGCAGGATCCCCTTTTGGTAGCGAGCTACAAGTTTTTTCTAGCACCTTGAGCTGAAGTTCCCAAGGGACAGCACAGAGCACATCACCACCCCTGCTTGGGCAGGAAGGGGAGCATAAGACAAGCCCGCAAGGCTCCTGCAGAGTTATCATGGGCATTTCAGACTGGGTAGTCCACAAGAAGGAAAGACGGAGGCTGAAGTGAGAAGCTGAGGAGCCTGTAAGTGTATCTGGGAACAGAAGCCGGCCAGTTCGCTCCACAGAGAGTAGGAGGTCAGGACTGGCAGTGCAGTGGTCACAGGGCAGCATTTCCCAAATTACACTGACCCACATCCTGCCCCCAAGTGATCGTATCAATTGTGCTCTTCCTCCTCCCAACTGCAACTCAGCTATTCCTGAGCTACGATCAAAGTTCCTTCTATGTGGAGCCTTTCCCACTGAGCTTTGCATGACTCCCACGCTGGGAAATGCTGCTAAAGGCAATACCTTGGGAATATGGGAATAAAGCAAGAGATAGCCCTAGGCAGACAGCACGTTTTCCACAGAGGGTACATGAGAGAACGAGGAGCAGATACACTGTGGAGGGGAAAGCATGCAACAGAAAGGGGAGAAGGCACGCAAATAACGTTTGGACAGTGTGGTATTCCTATCCTGAAGTTCAGAATTAAAGCAGTTCTAGGTGAAAACCCTCCTGCAGCAACCTCTTTAAATCTTTGCAGAATAGGAAGAGGAGATCTAGTGGCTGATGAGGACAACAGACTTGACCCAGAAAACAGACTTGACAGAAAGAAAAGCTATGAAATTAGCTTGAAGGCTAATCTAGGTCAAGGGTAGATTAATTAAGCGGACTTCAGTTGATCACAAAATAATTAAAACCAGAAGTTAGAAGAATTCCGAAGACACCGTGCAGTCAGAGAACCAAATTTTAAGAAGCAGTAAGAGGTTGTTTGGAAGGTACTGCACAGTGGCCGTACAGCTAAACAGGAGATTTTCTAAGGAGAGTGTGATGCAGGTCCCTGACTATATACATGATTTTCAAGAGGAGTAGAAAGGATGCTGGTGTGCTCTATTTTTATAACATCATGATCCTACATGTTGGCTTTCACCACCTGTCTGTGGTGAGCAAGGGGAAGTTCTCTTGCTCCAGTGATGCATCATTTGGCTTCTGTTTTTCTGTTGTCCTCCTTCCCCAGCTTTTTTGCTTGGTTTCGCCATTCTTTAGCGTGCCGACAACCAAATCCAGGGAGAAGATGTAGGGCAAACTGCATTGATGCTCATAACGTCACATTTTATCAGTGGCCTGGCTGGTATGTCCTGGCCACACACTTAAGGGTCAAATTCAGCGGCAGAGGTCAGAAGGAAATCCCCTTCTCCCATCTCCAACTACCCCACCATATTTTTTGAGAAGGTAATAGTTTCAATCACTCTTGCTTTCTTCCAGAGGAATGTTACAGTTACAGTTGCTGGTCTTTAATGATAGGAGCTAATTTGGTCACCACTTGGGAAGAGCTTGTTGCCCATGTGTTGCCCAGTGGGAAGAATAGGTGTTCCAGAGACCCCGTGGAATTGGACATCCCTTGTAGGCTGAACTGCAAAGACGTGTGCGAAGGTGGGACACAGCAGCACCTTTTAGTCCTAACTTCCTATATGACCTAAGAAAATTACCACCTTTAAATGTCTTCAACAGTAGGATTAATCAGGAAACAGTTTTGCAGTAATTGGTGAGTGAAGATAGAAACGCCATAACCAAATAACGCAAGGGATACACAGTATTCCCAACATGCCCCCAAACATACTGACATCTGTTTCACCATTCCAGCTCAGATCCCAAACAGAGTTACTTCAATATTCTGCTTCTGCCATTAGCAAAAACCCCGATCCTTGAAGTGACCTTCTCTGCCATCAATCCCTAAGACAAGCGCACAAGGCAGAGTGGAGAGATGCTCCGACTGAAACGCCAAGGTTGTCCCTTTTACTCGCTTCCATCGAAGTGTTTCCCGTAGTGTTGGTCACAAAACTAATTCCACCTCCCTCCAAAAAAAAAAAAATTATCAGGCTTTCTGACACTGCTTACTTTCCCAAATCAAGAAATCAGAACGGCCATCACTCGAACTCTTCCCAGTCCTGTGCGTAACACATCACGCAATCTCAGTTCCTCTATGATGCATAATACAAAGAATGCAACTCGTTACATTGCAACTGAACTGGGTATCATCTAGCAGTGCATTTACTGTCCTGCTGCATTAGATCTCCTTGAACGTGTTGGCCTGAGGCAAGTTGTGCAAGCAAACAGTCTACCACTACTTCAGTTACAACGTCTGATGTCGCTCGGCATTTCTTTTGAAGATTGAATGACTTTAAAAATATCTTTTAGCATTATTAATTTTTAAAACATCAGTAATTTAAACATCCGAAAGCATAGCACGCAGCAGTACGTATCACATTTTGGTAATCTTTTCAAGTTACAGGTTATTTGTTGTCTCTCCACTTTGGATTACACCAAATGACACCACTGTCCCACAGTTTGGCAAGTCAAGAGCGCACAGAAAAACAGTGCTTTCAACTTGCACTGAAAAAAAAAAAATAAAAAGGAAAAGAAAAGAATAACTGTACAGAATGATGCCCCAAAATGTTCAACGGTATTGAAGTTGACCATCATCGCTCACTACTACGTCATCACACATATTCCACCTTCTTCCCGTGATCCGCCGCGTACTTACCCCGGAGCAGGTTACCAGGTGAATGCTTACACACGCTAAGTGTGCAGTTGTAATGGAATGACGGTACAAAGGTGATCCTCCGAGCAGCGCAGACGCTCCACAGCGGTACAGCGAGCAGCAGGCGTCTCTAGATGCATTTCCAGATGTGCACCATCCCTAATCCTCTCATTCAGGTAACTACGTGCATAAGAACCACAAAGACGCTGATTTCCATAAAATTATCTCACTCCATTTTATTTAAGATTTTCTTCTCCAGTTAGTAAAAGAAAGATGTGTCTCTCTTTATACATATGTACAAGTTCAGTTATAAAAATAGACAACACATTCAAAGAGAAAAAAAGGCTTGGCATTTGTCTGATTCCCTCTAAATTTTATATAATACACGTGAACAGGAGGGGAAGGGAGAAGTCATCAGGCGTTAATCAAACACCACGTCCTCCTCAGTTATCCCCTGCAACTCTGTTTAAAAATCAACCTATCTAAGCTCAGTTCTGCTATTTTCAGGTGTGCAAATTAGAGGCAGAGCCAACAGGAAGCACTCGCTCCACACTGTAGGACGCCAGGCAAAGGATTTGGGGTTGGAAAAAAAATTACAATAATAAAAAAAAGTCATTTTCCACTGTCACAGCCCAGACCTGCAACTCAGCTTGCTTCTTTCTCAAGGGATGAAAGTGCCCCGGCAGAACCACCTAACTCAATGTGTCAGACAGAAGAACCGCCCACAGCTAAATCTCAGTGCAATGCAGACTGCTTACAGCAAAGCAAGGGGCTACGGGGTAGGGATTGTGCATTGGGAACAGGGAAGGAGCAACCAGAGAATGAGAACACAGATGGGCACTGGCAGCGCTGCCTTCTGTCAGCCTCACGGGACACGGCCGCTGGCACCGGCACACGGCAGCGAACTCAACCAAGCGAGTCCGCATGATGATACGGAGATGAAGGGACAACACACTGGAAGAACAGTCAATGGATGGCCGGGATACAAGACAATGTTTTCCCAGGATTTGGCTGGAAGGGGGAATGGCACAGTTCCCTCTCTCTCAGGACTGTTTTCCGTTGCTCCCCTCGCAGCACCACAAGCTGCAGAGCCGTGCTCTGCTATGGCACGGGGAGAGGGGCAGCAGCAAACTCCTCCTCGGCTCTTCAGCTTTCCCGTTTCTTGAGATTTGTGTAAGCAGAGCCTTATTTTGTTTCTAAGCTTTTATGAGTTCTGCACACCTCAGAAGTGAGAGACATCATTCTGAACACAGCGAGTGTTTGTGCTGATGAGAACTCTGAAATGCAAACCAAACCACTGGCTGGTGGTTTCTTCCACTGCCTGGAGCAGAGGCAGTGCTGCTGCTCTCACGGCGGGCCAGCACCTACACCGTGGCTCTGACCCTGTTCCTGACAGTGCTGGAAAGAGTCCATTCCCTGGAAACCACCCAGGACACCTTCCTTTGCATTTCAAAACTTGAAAGAACCCAGAGGCCCACACTAGACGAATCCAAGATTTTTTTCTCATCACACAACACCTTCAGCTTCGCCCCCAATTATCCCCGACCTGCTGCCGGTACAGAAATGTTCTCTGACTCTACAGGATACTCCTGGGGTTCAGATACGGATTTCGTAGGATAAAACTAATGCTGGGTTCCACCTCAAGCTACAAGATAGAAAGTATATTGGTGTGACTTCAAGCACACACAGCTGCAGGATGTTGCATGGAGTAGCTGGATGCTTTCCCAGGCATCTTTGTCAGACGCACTGACAAAGCCGGCACTCTCCCAGTTACCCCAGACTCCCTCCCCTCCTTCACGCAGTGTCTGCACATATAGGGTTGGGTTTTTTTTTTTGGAATACACATAATCAAAGTGCTCACATAAACCACCCCCTCCCATTGTGCTTTGATTTTCTTTTCACACACGTGCTGGACAGCAGCAAGGCATCCGTTTGCGTGCCTTCAACTGGCAGGGTGGTCTATTCTGAAAGCCAACGCAGTTCAGACAAGCTTTGGGGGTTCAAAATTACTACCGACCACCTGAGGTGTGGGCACCTTTGCTTTGTTTCCGAATTGGAGTTTCTGATATGAGACTGCTGGTCAGGTTTAAGCTTTTTGGGGTCCCACAAACACTGTTTCCTTTGCTCAAAGAGGAGCTCAAGGGAGAAGAGGCGCTTGAAGGTCCAAAATCTGCTAGTCCAGAAGGCCGAATAATTGCTGTTTGTAGAGGGCTACTTGCAGACATGCCTAGCAATGGAAAAGAGAATCAAATTCCATGTGAGCATATTATTCCACTTGTGGCTCTTCAACAACAAACAATATACTAACATTCCTCAGGCCAACCAGTATTCATGATTTATGAGTTTAATGAAGAGGGATGTCCTTAAGATATAAAACATCTTGCAGTTGTACCGTGGGACACCTTCTGCTGGTATAAAGTTGAGGCTCCATCACCATCAGTTTAGCAGATTTTGGAACCTGATGCAGTTAACTTCAATGTGACAGCAATGCAGTAAAGCCACAGGCACACCCATGGGACAAACAACACTACCCAATTTGTCTGAACATCAAAATGAAAAACCAGGAAAAATATTTGGTATGAGGTAATTCAAAGGGCAGATGAAACTTCTGCAGGCTTAGCCCCTCAGCATCACCTCTGGTGAAATTGGCTATCCTCTCACACCATTACCATGTCACATTGTGTACTGCCTGGCTCTCAGAATATATTGGACAAACAATACCAACAATACATGTAATCTATTTTTTGACAGGCTGTAAACAACAGTCATCCAAACTCATGTGGCTGGTTCTGCGCTGGGTAGTCTGCTGCCTCCCCTTCCCCACATACCTTTAGAGACATTGTACCCGTACGCTGCGTACGCCGCTGCAGAGGCTGCCGCTGCCCCGGCTTTGGCACCTGCCATTGCAGCCGCACTTCCCGCTATCGATTTCCGGCTTCTGCCTTTCCCAGTGCCGCCTTTTGATCCACTGCCGGAACCTTTCGGACGACCCCGGCTTCGACCTGACTGGCCTCTGCTAGTGAGAGGTGCATCTTGCATTGACACTCCTTAACAAAAAAGAATGTCAAAACAACAACTGCTATAGTATTTCAGTATGACTCTCAAATGAATTCAGCATCATAACTCCCAACCATTTCCATCAATGCTGCTCCTATTAACTGATACTTTTCTTTTCACAACAGGGACACTGTTAGCAAGCAGTGATCCCATGAAAAGAAATCCTGTATAAAAAACTTCACTCTCGATTAACCACATCTTATTAACTCCAACTACTTGTCATCATTATTATGAATCCAATCCACAAATAGGTGGAGGATTCTGGGTTGTACTTCAGGATGAAGCATTTCCTTATTTGAAGATAAGATAGGAAGTTTCTTCCATCTGCTATCTCTAAAGAAACTCATCAAGAACTACGGCTCTACTTATTTCAGTGTAGAAAACTATGGTACTTAAAGCCATTTTCCATTATTTAAAGTTAGACTTGCCCCAGTCACCCACTGGAAATAGAGAACTGATTATTAGCACCACAGCAAATTCAAGGAAAAGCTTAGACATTAATAGTTTTGTGGTTGTCTGTAACTTGGTAACAAGCACATCATGGAAGGAGAGCCCTCTGTAACACAGGAACAAAGGACAAAACTTTCAGGGCAGGAGTACTGACCATTCATGGTATCCGAAACTGAGCCAGTAATGGACGCAGGGGAGTTTGTTGCCCTTGACTGAGGTGCTGAAGATGCTGGATCATCCACAATCACAAGCATATCACTACTGCTCTCATCGGGAGGGATAGAGCCCATATGTAATTCACTGTTGATGGATATCTGAACGTGACAGAGAACAAAGCCGTTAGCTTCTCAGGTTGGGAAAGGGAAGGGTACAAAAATATTAAGACCTTTAAAAGACATATAATCACAAGTAATTAATGGGTACTTGTTCTGTCCTTTCTAATTTTCTCTATGTCAGACTAGCAGCACGATACATAACCCGCCTGATAACGCCACCACCTCTATTTACATGCTGAGCAGCAGTAAAGACCTCCAGGAGCTACTTGATTTCAACTCAAGAAAATACACGGAAAGTTACGAAGCAGGAGACTAATGGACTCAGCAGAGGTTTAAGAAAACTGCTGTCCATCTGTGCATCTTCAACTGCAAGAGAGAAGACAACAGGATTCTTAACCTAGTACAACTGCTAATAAAAATCTTGGTCAATAAGGGAACAATATGACCTAGGAATCTTAATCAACAGGGTACAGAACAAGATGTATTTGCTGCCAAAACCAGGTTGCAGTTCTTTACAAACAGATGAAGCAAAATGATGCATGAACCTGAGAACTTACCATTTAAACTCCAAACGAAAAAAACACATTAATTCAGAAACAGAAACAAGGAAGGAAGCAGAGAAGGAGACACAGATGAGACTAGCGAGGAGTACTTGCAAAGAAACTGAACACCAAGGAGGAGGGATACTGTTTGGTTCAGGAGCAGAAAGAAACTTTCTTTCCATGGAAGGTATTGGTATGGAAGAAGGCACATGGTTATAAATGTGAGCATGACAAAGACAGGAAAGAGGGAGAAGAAAGTAGGAAGAAAGTAAGTGGGACTGCAAGCAGGAATTGAAAAATTTCAGGGGCTGAAACGGAAGAGAGTCAGGGCATGAACTCGCTGTAAGAAAAGGGAGGTAGTGAATGAAAAGAGAAGTAATGGAATGTCAAATAAGGAGCTGTAAGGCAGCTTATTATCAGCTGTAATGTTTTCAACAAATTACTTTCATTTCCATTGTTCACCTTTAAGACACATCACTTCCCCACATACTCGAAGTTCTATAGTAGCTAAAATAAATGAAAGAAAGAATCCAACAAGTTACAAGACCACAACTGAAACAGCAGCAGTGAGTCTTACCTCACTGAAAGGGCTGGGCATGGCAGAGTCTACACTAATGAAGGAGTCATCCCCATCAGCAGACAGGTTGGAGTTATCAGCTGAGGGAACAAATGGGATCACAAGGTTCATGCCTTCTTTCTTTCTTTTCCCATCCAATTCATCTTCCTTCTTCTTCTGAAATAAATAAAACAATACTAGGAATGAAAAAGATGGTACAACAGAAGAAAGAATAAGCAATCCAAAATCTCAACATTTAATGCAGTATTCTAACTCAATGAATGTCATGTCCAAAATTTCCCCAAGCAAGTTTCTAGTGAACACAGTAACAGATCCCTTAAAGGGTCCTTCCTTAGATTTAAGTAGGGCTCAGTTTGCTTTTCTTCCTAAAATAGCTGGAATGATGGAGAATTACTCGTACAGAATTACTTTGATTTCCATTGCCTTTTGGAGTCAGCTTGAAATTCTTTACCATTACAGAAAATTCAAATCAATTAATGCCAAGCCTGTCTCAAAACTTCAGAATTTTCAAAAACTAATTTTAATAATATTTTTTAAACAAACTGATCTTTCCTTATTCAACAGAAGCCAAATAGCTGTATGGGTTTTATCTGTGTATGGTGCTTCATTTACATTCCCTTTTTGTCCTGGCAGAACAAAATCTTGATTCTGTACACCACAGAGTGATCAGTTGGTCATTCTGTTTTTTTCGAGCCTGAGTCCTCAAATGGTCACCGATAGTCTACAGACTACAGTGATCGACAGTGTGGTTTGGGTATGCAGCACTTCCTCATTTTTTAAGTTGCTAATGACATTCAAATACAGCTAACCCAGTGTTAGGGATTTTATAATATCCCTTTGCTGTGTAAGGAAGAGCCACAGATCGATACAGAATCACAGAATGGTTTGGGTTGGAAGGGACCTTAAGCACCATCTAGTTCCAACCCCCCTGCCATGGGCAGGGAGGGACACCTTCCACTAGACCAGGTTGCTCAAAGCCTCATCCAGCCTGGCCTTGAACACTTCCAGGGATGGGGCATCCACAGCTTCTCTGGGAGTCATCCAATGGTAGTGGGAAGAAAGCTTTACTCATTAGACTGCCTCTGCATAAAACGTTTCCACACCACATAACAGTGAGCCTGAAGCATTTCTGGCTCTATCACTGACCCAGACAACCTCTTTGCACCAAAGTACCTTTTCAGCATATTTTTCCCTTTTACGTTTACGTTCCTTCACACGATTTGTTTCTTCTTGCTGTCGCTTCTCTTCTTGACGCTGACGCACTGTCGGAAAAGAAATACAAAGTGATCACCACTGGAAAGGTATTTCACATCCTTTTGTGAATCTTAAAAAGAAATTCTAGTTCTAACAGAACTGTGAAAAGATGTCAGCTGTGTTAAAACTAAAACACATTGAAAATACCACTGTATTAAAATTATTTGTATTCAAATTACTAACAAGTCTTACAGTGAAATTATTTTTTCCAGCAACAGAAAAGCATATACCTCTAGTATAGCTTCAAAAGGATGATGAAATACAGCATTTTTACTAATACTTTTCTTGTTATGACCTACGTAATTCTTGTCAAAAGCTCTGTCATTCAGGAACAACATAACGATCCTGAATGCGTGCCAATAAAAACTTCATCACATCATTATGTCTCTCTTGCACAACTTCATCCTTCAGCTCACCAGTGATATGAAACAAGCTTGCACGAACAAGAGTTGGCAATACACAAAGAGCCAGGAAACAGAAGCTGTTATCAGCAACACATGTGTTTGTAGAGATAAAAACACAGATTTCATAAGCTAATGAAGGGGAAGATGGGGAAAATGCTGCAACACAAATTTCACATACATTTCTTTTCTAGTTCCTCATCATCCAGCAGAAGGCTGACCACCTCTTTAGGCTTCAAGGTGTCAGGTTTGAAATTGCCACCCGAAATCACCATTCGTTGGATCTAGAAGGGAAAAAACCCAACAGAGAATAACAGGAAAAAAATCACTCAAAGCAGCCATGAACCATTCCCATTACCCTTCACTGAAAGCCAGCCAAAAAAAGATGCCAGTGCATCTGTGTAAGTCAGAATTGACTCAACTTCTCTATCATACCAAACTTAGCAGCAAAATTTCAGGGAAGATTTTTCAGGAGCATAATTAATTAAGAGCGTAAAATATGAGAGACAACCAAGCTAGAAAGCAAAAAATTTCCATTCCTTGGGCCAAGTTGCACTTCTAAAGTACCATGTAATAAACAACAAATGATAATAGTATTAATGTACTGCTGAACAAAAAGAAAAAAAATGCAGCTATACTCCTGGTCAGATAGGAATTACCAGTCCAATTTTTCAAGTAATCTGCACCAAGCATTATGGACATCACATTGTCCATATTGAGTCTGTATCTTCCGTTTAAGCCATTCACTCAACCTCTATTAATGCAACTATATTAAAAAAACAAACCAACCCAAAACCTAATGAAGAAGAGTTGTAACTTGGCAAAAGGCAACAAGTTTTAGCAGTAGCCAGTTTCAATGACTGAGACACTGAGATCTTCCTCACACCACAAGTAATTTTCACTTGATTACCTTCCAAATTTCTTTAGAAAAAAAGCAAATCAGCTGTGGTGTAACACTGTTACGTCAGAGGAATCAGTAGCCCGGGCACAGCAAGACAGAAGCTCTAGTCTTAAGGAAGCCTGAGAAGTTTCATTGCATCATAAGAAATAGTTTTCATGAAGTCATAGTGTAAATAATTAGCCTCTTCCTAGTTCATATAATGTGGCTGTAATGCTGCTGTTAGAAACACAGATTTGTTTATTTGAACTTTTGGCTACTCTTGTGCCTCCCTGCAGTTATTTTTTTCTGTTTCTTTATTTCTTTATTCCTACCTCACTCTTTTCCTTAGCCCTTTGTAGGATGCGCTCCTCAATGGTGCCTTTACATATCAACCGGTACACAGTGACTTGTTTTGTTTGACCCAGCCTATGTGCCCGGTCCATGGCTTGCTGGTCTACTGTTGGGTTCCAGTCACTGTCATAGAAAATTACCTGCAAAAGAACATCAGAACAGAAAGGATTAAATAAACCCATACAGTTAGAGCACCTGCTGATTAAACAAACAAAACCCCAATATACTGATCCAAAGAGAAGTTCTACTATACATCCCACAGAATTACTGCCCCACTGCAGCAGGCTGTATTAACCTAGCTTTGCCCAGTCCCTATGAAGTCTTTCCCATTGCGATTTCTATGAATTCTGACTAATTGTCACTGCAAGTTTTAACTTCCACAGAATGTCTTTAATATCTAATTCAACAAATCTGCTTCGGAGGCACAGAATTCCTAAGTTTATCACCGCATTAAATCACATCATGAATCCATTTTAGTGTTACTTACCTTAAAAAGAAAAGCCCATCAAATTAGAATTTTACATGAAAAGTAATACTCCAATTTTTTTTTCTTTCAAACCTGGGTGAAGTCTAGTCTAGCCTAACACTTCTAGTGCTTTTACTATAAAAAACCTGAAATGCCACATTATATTCACATTGCCCTATCATTCCAACAGTACTTTATGCACAGTAAGCATAAAAAACCCCCCCCCAAAAACCCCAAAACCAAACCAACCAACCAAAAAAAAATTGATGGCAAATTAAAAGCATTTAGAAAGTTTCAAAAGCACAGAATTAAAAATGCTCATGCAAGGAGCCTGCAGGAGCATGCCTGTGCTTCCACCTGTTTATTTCCTCTGTTGAAGCAACTTCAAACAAGAGAATATTTCAGCCCTGAAAATCCTACAGATATTTGCTTTCTTCCCATTTCTGCTAAGTGACAGCAAGATATAAAGTATTTAAAGAAAAGAATTATGTAGTATTTTTGATTCGGAGATCTTTGATTTTGTGTGGCTAAGGACTCCAGTCTCTCTTGGGGGCAAATCTGCATGCACACACGGTATTGGGTTAGAAGCACAGGCACAGCTGTTCCTGAAGAGATGAATGGTTCGTGTAAGCCAGTATTCCTTCCCTAGTGATTAGTGGCAGTGGCCCCAGAGCGCAAATCCTTGCAATTCACCCAAATCAGTATGCCTTTACTCTTTACAGTGAGTAGGGGGGAAGAAATGTATCCTTCCTGATTAGCAGGTACTCGACTACAAATGACACTACTTTTAGAGGCATTGCTTCATTCTGCTGTGCACGAAAAAGGGTCACCAACTCCTGTTAGTGCTGACTCCTTTGCGGCTGAACCTTAAGAGCAGAGAGTCACACATGAAACAAAGTACTTGTTTCATGTGGCCTTCACCCACCCAACTCCCTTCTAGACTCCGGTACTGAAGTATGTGGGGAGAAGGAAGGTATTTCCAACTGCAACCAAAAATCAAGTGTCAAATATTCTACAACTTTATCATCAAGATAATACTATATTGTAAATATGAGCAAAGTAAACCAGGTTATGCAATTTCATTATGTGAATGGCAGTACTAAAAATATTGATCAGCATGGCTAAGAGAGTGCCAACTTCACACAAAGACCAATTTTCCTACACAGATTGCGAGGCTGGGAGGCAGGAGATGAGCAGCTTGGGAAAAAGAATGTTTAGAGGCGTATGACGCAGGAAAAGCAAAGAAATATTTATACTGAAAACTAAACATCCGTAAGCTGCTTTTTTATTCTCTATTACTTTACCAGACTTCACCTACCGTATCTGCAGCTGTAAGGTTAATGCCCAAACCTCCAGCTCTTGTGCTTAACAGGAACACAAAAATATCATTCCTGCAGAGGAAAGAGATTAAAGAAACCCCTTATTTTGTGCACAATGAACAAGAAATCATAGAATCACAGATTGGTTTGGGTTGGAAGGAACCTCAAAGACCATCTAGTTCCACCCCCCCTGCCATGGGCAGGGACACCTTCCACTAGACCAGGTTGCTCCAAGCCTCATCCAGCCTGGCCTTGAACACTGCCAGGGATGGGGCATCCACAGCTTCTCTAGGCAACCTGTTCCAGTGCCTCACCACCCTCCCAGTGAAGAATTTCTTCCTGATGTTCAATCTAAACCTCCCCGCTTTCAGTTTAAACCCATTACCCCTTGTCCTGTCACTCCAGGCCATTGTAAAAAGCCCCCCCCCAGCTTCCTTGTAGCCCCTTCAGGCACCGGAAGGTGCTATAAGGTCTCCCCGGAGCCTTCTCCTCTCCAGGCTGAACAAGCCCAATTCTCTCAGCCTTAACCACAGAAGTCAATTTTTTGACCCGTATAAAGTGACCAAGGCTATTTCTATTACTTGAACACTTCAGAACATTTTGTGCTGTTCATTCATGGTCAAGAAAAAAAAAGAAACAAAACACATGAATGAGTGAGAGAAGTTAATCTACAAATCAGGACTGTCAGAACATGCAAACATTCAATCTGCAATAGCAGCTCATTATTCTCTATCAAACAAACGAGGGCTTGTTTATCTTGCTCACATTGGAAATTAAGATTTCGTATGAACAAAGACCAACTTATTGTTTGACAAAACTGACTGATGTTAAAAAAAAATCTTGCCTCAACAATGCTCAATTCATAAAGAAAGAAAAATAAATGTTGAAACTGTGTAGATGCAAGTTTTGTTCTAAATTTGGTGCTTTGAACAGAAGAAACAAAGAGACAGGTCTACACATCGGATGCCCAAGTAGTGATGAAAACTCAGGTGGTAACACTGAGATCAGGATTTCTGCTACGGCTGTGAACCTTGCTAGTGCCACTGCGGGGGTCAGCAGTATTGAAGTGTTTAACTCCACACGGATCTGTGAACAGGTTGATGCAAACAAAGCAGACAGTACTAGTAAAGGCTCCAAAGAGGTTAGCATCCTGTATTTTGACAGTAACAGAGCAAGGCCCTTAATAGCTTAAGGGAAGACGCTCTGCAATGCCACATCCTCTCGGTACCACACTGTCCGTACACTAGTGCATGTAAAATTAGCGAAGCACCACAAACTCTTGCTGAATGAGCAGCATGGGACATTTCCTTCTTGACTAAGTGTAGGCAGTCTGCCCTTGAAAGCCCGCTCATCATATCTGAAGGGTATTTCTTGCCCTCCCTGGACAAAGCGTGGGTATATTGAAGGCTATTACACACATGGCAGTACAACTCAACAAACTGAAAAAAAATAAGGGTTTTGGAATCCTTATCCTTGAAGGTGAAGTAGAACTGACTATTTCCTGAGGAGTCATACTTCGAGACAATCACAAGTACTGGGCAAGGCTCTATCATAAAAACCATTCTCTCAAAGAACCTGTTCTGGTCCAAGGTAGGGTATTTCCCCCTGCCTCCCCTAAGGAAATTGCCAATAGACAACAGAAATAATTACAAAAAACTATGAATTAACACACACATAAAACCCACCAAGAACTCTAAAATTAGAAATGGAAGGTTTCTGGCATCAAAATCCAAGAGTACAAAAATCAGTGCTGAGCTAGGGACAGCTGGGAGGAACTGAAGCCAAGCTGCCAACCTCCAGACTTCATCTTGCAGCTACAAAGCCAAAGGAATCAGCAGGTGCCCATTCACAATGTAGGTAATTCCTGGCCAGGAAACCTTTCCACTCTTGTAACAAGAGTGGAACGTGCATATAGACAGTCACCTGAACTGTGACTGTGAAATGCTTCTGGAAATGCCATATGGAAAGGAAAGAAAGTGGACAGTGCCACAGAGTACAGGAAAAAATTATAATGCCACAGCTATGTATTTTCAGCACCCGGCTAGGATATCCTGCAGGACAGACTAGTCTCAGTCAGGCTTTTTTTCCTGGAAATATTTCTCATAAGTAAATGAAGTATAAGAGGAACTTAACTAACATTTTAATAGGAATTCTTGTTTAGACTGGCTGACCTATATTTCAAAGGGATTT